ATATTTTACATGAAATATATTGAACAAAATACCCCTGAAAAGTTTTGGGGGTATTTTGGTAAAAAAAAAATTGAGAATTATTTTTTATTTTTATTTTTGCCCCTTGATGAGAAGAACACACATCTAAAATTTCAAGTGATTTGGATTTGTAGAAAAAAAAGTAAAATTCAAACACGAAATGAGGTCATGATTGTCAGATCGGCCCAGATTCAATCTGGGCCGTTGGCGTTTACTGTAGCGGTCAGCGAGTGGGCGTATAGAATCCACTCCATATATATATATATAAATGCACTATGTAATATTATATCATATTATATGCTACTATACAATACCACACTGATAGACTATACCATTTTGTTATATAATTTATATCATATTATATGCTACTATACAATACCACACTGATAGACTATACCATTTTGTTATATAATATTATATCATATTATATGCTACTATACAATACCACACTGATAGACTATACCATTTTGTTATGGACCCGGTTCTATGCGGCCAAGCCCGCATATGTAGAAATGTGGGCCGCTTAATAAATCTATTTTTGAGATGGATTTTAGGACTTAATTTTTAAGGACATGTAATCTCTAACATGGAGATCATGAATATGAAAAAATAAATAAATTTTAAAAATTAGAAATAACAATTCTAGTAAGATAACATTTGGACGGTTAGTTTCCATTGCTTTTAGACGGAACACCTACTTGCATCCATCTTTAAGATGGATGCTTTACACTTTCTGGACCGCATATGTAGAAATGGGTCCAGCCTGCATGAAACAATTTTCCTTTTGTTATACTCTACTACTATATTATATCACATTGCATATTACATCACATTGCTATACTATACTATACTATACTGCTGTATTATCTTATAATGCTGGAGAATTTGGATTCCTTGTAACTAAGGACCTCAATCCCCAATAGGAAGGATCGAGATCCCAAAACTTAAGAATCATAGAGGAGCAATGTATCCCTCCTCAGAGTGCAGTGTCGGGATTCCAGAGTGGCATTGACCCCTTGGTAGGTATCCCGGTAACTATATATCATTTATAATAAGGAAATGACATGTTGGCCTCTTTCAATCAACAGATCTACATAGAATGGGAGGTTTGTGGGTCATTACCTGCATGACCATTTGCAGAAGATGCATACAAGTAATTGCACTTGAAAGCCATCCACTATTGGCACAAATGTCAATCATGGCTTGGATAATTCGTATACTTTGATCCATTAGTGACTTCAAGTCTGTGGTATAGTCACTGATTGGCAATTGTAGCCGTGAAAAGTGTGCCTGACATAACAGCATAACATTAATGCAATTGATAAATCTTAAAAGAAATTGCTTGTTTCAATCTTCGATCATGATCCAAATTTATTATCTCATGCCCAGAACAACTGGTGCTCGTACAAATATTCCCTTAGAGTTGGGTGCATCTTACCTGAAAGAGTAAATTTGCTTTCACATGTGGATCATCAAGCTGGTACTTATCAATAAGATAAGGAACCTTCTCTGATAAATCCTCATTGTAATGTTCCTATACATAGATAACAGAAGAAATTAAAAAATGAGAGGAACTGCGTAACTACTTTTACATCAATATGCATATATTGTTTCATTGGAATTCATGTTCTGGTTTCGTAAAGTCGATGTTATTAAAAGAGTAGCAGAACAAATAGGGTCAAGACATCTAATGTATATTTGATTAATACAAGCAATGCATATAAAATAAAGATAAACAAGAAAATACAACTGGGTTATAATTACATATGAGATAAAGAAGTGACAGGTTCATGGCCAGAAAGTATACCTCATTATGTCTCACAGGAAGCTCATCGTACTCAGAAGCACCAGAAAGAATGTGCAGAAAAACCTGCATAATAAGCACGAGATATAAAAGTCAGCACAGAGCAGCTTTGAAAAATTAAAACTACTACAGTAACAATAATACAACTTATTGTTAAGAAACCCACCTCCAGTGAAGTATCTCGGCTGATGTTAGATCTAAACATTGAAACTGTCATATAGCTTAGGTAATACTGAGATGCAATGGACCCCAACATCGAAGGCTCAACACTGTTATCATCTATCTTAATGCAGCCACTGTCTTCTAAATCTTCCAATGTATTCTGGACCAACCTGTATTTTGGAACAGAAATTATTGGCATATCCATGGAAATGGTAGAACCTTATGCAATCAGAAAGTAACAAAAGATAATCTTACTTAGACAAATATGAGTTCACAGTTCCACTTTCAGTATCGTCCAAACCATAGTAAGTAGGATTGACAACCTACAGCACAAGAAGGTTATAATTTAGGTCTTTCCCAAAGCAAAATACACCAACACAAAGGTGCAAATATTAATTGGCCATTGTACTAGAAAAAAGTATTGTACACTAATATCGTGGAGATTTCAATAAGATAAGAGTGCCTTGTCTAGTGGAGACTGCAGCATAAGCATAAAAGGGAAAAGTAAACTTATTGACTATCAAATACTCAGCAAGATGCAAATAATTAGTATATATAAGTCTTTATTTTGTGGGGCATTCTTTCAAATTGTTGCTGACAGGAGTACTTTGGTTACTAAGAGAACTTTCTGCGGCAGGAAAACCACAATAGCATCCTCCTATCTCATTTTGCGGCCAGTTTTGGCGAAACTTGCAGATATTTCTGACAATCCAGGCAATTGATGAAATCACCTTTCCTTAATGACAAAAACCTTGGGGGAGAACAACATTGCCTCAGCTTTCTTTCAGGGACAGCCTGGTAATTTTGATCCATGTGTATAAATTTTACTCATCAATCTCCACGACCCAAATAAATAGATGGTGGAGACTGAATAGGAGATACCATTATGGTCCTCCAACAGGAGGACCAAAAGTTTACCCTCAGTATTTATACTATCAAACCAAATTAAACACCTCAGATGAGAAGCACAAGCATTGCAATGTGACAAGGGTAAAAGGGTATAGAACGTCATACTAATCTCCGAAATAGGTAAGTCCATGTGAGATAATGCACTGCATCCTCTTTATTACGAACTGTCCCTGAAACAATCTCTGCATTGATATGATCATGCAATTGTTCTCTCAAACTACTTTCGACTGGGAAGGGCTCATATAAAAACTGCAAAATGGGAAGGTAGACAAAACTTGTGTCAGTTTTGTGGAACCGTTTGAATGAGATATTTGGTTACTTAATTAATAATTTAAACCTTTTTGTAAAAGCTTTTCTTGGGTTCATGAACGAGAACGACTGCTTTTCCATGTTGGTCATATTGGGGACGACCAGCCCGGCCCATCATTTGCAAAATATCTGTAATAGGGAAATCAACATATCTTTTTGTTCTCCCATCATAATATTCAGTGCCCTGCAGCCATATTAGGAAGTTTATAACCAATCAGATGAAGGAATTCTTTACCAAGAAATATAAGTCACAGAAATTGAACCATACCCACCTTAATTACAACGAGATGAGCAGGAAGGTTAACACCCCATGCCAATGTGCTTGTGCAAACCAGGACCTATAGCAGCATCTCTAGCCAATGAGTGAATTGCTCATCCAGATTTAAAATTCCTAGCAGAAAGACAGTGAAGAAGTAGATGTATTAATAATTGATAGCACCTGAATTTTATTGTTCACAAACAGTTCTTCCACCAAAGACCTGTCTCTGTCATTTAACCCAGCATGATGCAAGCCAATGCCAAACTGCAATGTATGCCTCAGATTGAGATCAGTGACTTGAGAGAGTAGCATTTCCAAGGAATCTTCAGGAATACTGAGAAATTGCCTCGCACGTTCATCTGAAGCTGCAAACTGTAGTAGAATGTACAATAAGTAAAGACATCCAATACAACAAATAAGAAATATGTTGGAAACTCTCATGGCAAGATTTCACCTGAATGAGGTCAAGAGCTGTTAGTCTTGTTTGGCGGCGAGATGAAACAAAGATAAGAACTGGTTTCGTGGGTGAATGGGTGCATATGGCAGCATATGCAGGTTTGTTCATGCTGTTCATTCGAGGGCAGTAAAACTTCCCCGGGTATCCCTGTTGCAGAGCATAATAAGTTAATGAGTAATATCCAATAAGTAACAGAAAGGAAATGTGTTTATCCGTGATCATCAATTTCATTGATCTAACGGTTGATGCCCCAAGAACCAAAGGCAGGAAATTAAGACAGGATGGAAAAACCTAACACAATTTAGAAAAACAGAAGGCACTTAAATCACGTAAAATCTAATGCACAGCATTGTTTTCAATCAATGGGAGCGTAAAAATTTAGCTCATTAAAGAGCATGTTTACTTGCCTGAATGTGAACTTCAAGAGGTACAGGCCTCACACTGGGTTTGAAATTAAAGAATCCAATGTCGTCAACACCCAACCAGTTGGCCAAGTCGCTGACATAAAACCAGCAAGTCCATTTGTAAGCAGATTGGGATGCATATGACAGAAAAGCATTACAAAGAAACATATTTACATGAAATATTGCATGTAAAACACTTACGGAAAAAATCAATCTTAATATATGCCATTTTTAAATATAGGGAGTTCAAGGAATTACCCATTTGTCTCAGAAACAGAATCTACAAAGAGTTCAAGGAATTACTCATTTGTCTCAGAAACAGAATACACAAAGATTTTAAGGAATTACTCATTTGTCTCAGAAACGGAATATACAAAGCACAGGAATAGACCGTAGGAACTATGATAAGAAAGATGAAGAGTGCTAGACTAAGTCAACGGAAGCACATTTTGGTTCTCTATGAAACACTAATTAGACCCCATGTGTCTTCAGCAGTTTCATGCGACGCTAGAACTAAATCCATAAAGAAGCTACTTCGGCCATTAAAGGATGTCCGGTTGTCTCCAAAACAGATAGAAACCTTCAAGTACTAGCCATTGAACATTTCTATTTACCGATTTCCATTGGACACAAATAGTAATAATAGAACTTACAAGAATTTAATAATATTTCACAAAACATTAAATATACTGGAAATGAGCAAGAACTTTAAAATTCCAGAGAAAAAGATCATTTCTGGACCCGTAAATCAATGTGTGAATCAGTGTTAAAAAACCGGCCAATTAGAACTAGAACCGGCCGGTTAGATTGGAACCGCCAGGGTTCCAACTCCAGTTAGGGCCAGTATTGGTGTTCTAATATCTATATAAAACACCTCAAAAAAAAATCCGGACCCAAACCGGCCGGAATATACCCAAACCGGCTGGTTTATAGCTAACCGGCCGGTTTTTTAACCTAACCAGACTGGTTTTGAAAAAACACGTTATCTACCGTTATAACGCCCATAATAACATACTTTTGCCGTTATTTTTAACAGAGCCATTATATTTGACAGAACCCCTCACTTTTGTTTTATGAAAGATTTGATTCGATTTTTCTTGCTTTTTCAGCCTTTTTTAGGGTTTTTCAGTCAACTATTGACTGAAATTACTGTTTCAACAGTATAAAATGAAGGATTGGCACTGGAAACACACTGAAATTTGATGTTTTTTGCCAGTTTTTTTCGTGTTTTTCCCATATTAAAAAACAAATCTGCCATAATGCATATTGTGGAGTTGTTTTTGGATTTTATCAATGAAAATCTAGGGATTTTGTAAATAATAGATTTAGTCAGTATATTCTACTCCGAATTTCATTTAAAACGCTAGATTTGGAGCTCGATGTTGAGCAATTAGGGCAACAACTCGATTTTGTAGCACAGTTTTGAAAAAATCCGCCATCCTCAAGATTGTTGATTCAATTTTGGTTTTTTTTCAATCAAAATCTAGGGCTTTTGTAGATGATGGACTTAGTCACAAGATTCAATTCCTAATTTCATTGAAAATCCGATATTTGAAGCTCGATTTTGAGTGATTAAGGCATCGACTCAGTTTTATAGAACTGAGTTGAAAAAATCTGCCATACTTCAGATTGTTGATTCTATTTTGGTTTTTTTTCAATCACAATATTGGGTTTTTGTAGATCATGCAGTTAGTCACAAGATTGAAGTCCTAATTTCATTGAAATTCCGAGATTTCATGATCGAATTTGATAGATTACAACATCTACTTGGTTTTTCTTAACTAAGCTGAAAATCATCCGCCAATTGCTAGATTTTGTGCTTGATTTGGTGATCAAGTTTTACAGCTGAGATCACATGTATGAATTTCATGTGAGTTTTCATTTAGTATTTTTTTTAATATTATTTTTTAGTTGCTCGAGTATTTATTTCCCACTTTATTTTGCTAAAAAAAATAACTATTTTGCTCAAGCATTGTTCAGTTACCATAACAGAAAAAATCACTCAGTTACTTGAATTCGAAACGGGTGGCTTTTTACAGTACTTTGTAATTTTTGAAAAATTTAACACTAGACATCAGTGTGAAGAATTAACACACTCAGTATTTGATGTTTTACTCATAAAAGTTTTTTACTATTATTCTTAACTTGGGGTTCTAAGTTATAAGAGACTTGATCTCTAAAATGATATACAAAAGTATTCTTTTTATTTTCTAAATTATTATTATTTGTTTGTTGTTTATTAACTTGGGGTTCATCGAATTAAGGCTGCTAATGGAAATGCATAGGCTTCTATGAATATTTTTTAGTTCATTCAACTTTTATTTCCATTAATTGGCTATTTGATATCAAACTTCTCTTGGTTTGGCAGCAGTGCAATTGCAGTCATGTATGTTCAAATGTATATGTATCTAACGGGGCATGTCTATCTATGTATGTGGAAGACTGCACCTTTGTTTTCTATGAGCATTAACTGCATCTTGTCATAGTGTGTAATATATTAATGTCGGCATTAATGTATGATATATATGTGTATAATGATAAGAACCAAAGTTGTCAAGCCTTCACATAGAGCAATAGCATTTGGTGAATTGGCCAACTCATGCATCTGGTTTTTGTGATACTTCGGAAACTACAACACATCCCAAAAATTTCTGGGACTCCATTTCCATTTTGATTCATGAATTTAAGGCTTTAAATACAATGCATGATTTAAGGACATTTCAATGACAAAAGCTGTATTTTTTTTTTACAATTATTATTATGAGATAAGCTATGATTTTGAATTCAAAACCACATCCTAATGGCATCTAATGCATTTCAAAACATTAACATCCAATTGCATTACTACTAGCCATTGTTAGTTGGACTTTGTAACTCCATCAATTGAATTAATATCAAATTCTAAATTGTCTTGCATATCTCCATAGTATTCATATATTAATCTATACAAAAAGATGTTTCAATTTCTTTTCTTAAAATAAATGTAGGTAATAAGATGATATACACTAAATCTATGTTTTCTTTTTTTTTTTTTTTTTCGAGGGCTTTTTGACCCATTTAAAAAAAAAAATTCTTCCGGACTGGTTAGTCCGGTTAACAGCCGGTTAGATTGGTTCCGGTTCTAACCGCTCCTGGCCCCATGTCCTGTTAACTGTTCTGGTTTGATTTTGCGAACATTGGTAATGTGCTGAACAATGTGAAGACATGCGTGAAGCTTCGCAAAGAATTCTTCTACATGTCAAAAAAGTAACTAAAAGGTGAATAATTTATTCATGAGATTCATACTTATAAAAACAAGAATAATATGAAAAGCAATAAAAAATTCACAACTCAAAGAAGTTGAGTAAATCAATATTTACATTATACATCAATCTAAAGTACTTACTGAGCATTTGCTAAAGCCGTTGAAAGTCCTACAAAACGTATGCTGCGGTCCGTTTGTGAGGATATGTATCTCATCCTGGAAACAATTACCTGGAAATACCCCATCCAACACCATATAGCTCGCAAACTCTTTAGAACATACGTATAAGAATTTTAACATTTCTATTTCTGTTCAACATGCATCACAAACACCCACTTCAATGACCAAACTTACTACTCTCAACCTCCACTTTTTTTCTTGGAGATTGCTACTACCCAAGAATAAGTATCCACAATCAGAACTAGCTAGTAATGAGTAGTTTTTTTTTTTTACTAAAGGTAATAAAAATTTATAACATAGGTTTAGGATTCATGATAAGAAGTGGCAAAGTTTTACGCTGGCTGCCTACCTAATGCAACGCACCTCCTATACTCAAGGTTGGGACGGGTTAAGGGAAAGTTCAGGGTCCTCACCCTTCTTATGCAATAGGCCACAAGATGAGGGAAAGTAGATGTAGGTGGGCGGGCCACGTGCAGTGGAGACCTACTACAGCACCGATTAGGAGGTGCGATTTGGTTCATGTAGAAAGCACTACAATGGCAAGGGAAAGGCCCAAAACAACATGGATAGAAATAGTGAGAATAATGTGGGGACTTTTGATTCTATTGAGGGTATGGCTCTTGATAGAGAAGAACGTAGGAACATGATTCACATAGCTGACCCCAATTAATTGTGATAAGGCTTGGACACCCTCTACTGATTTAAGTCTTAAACACCCTCTACTGAAACAGTGAAAGTGACAGTGGGACTGGATGAACAAGCCCACATCTAAGAATTTTAGATGTACACTTTGAAACCATTTCCTTTGGAACTTCTTTTAACTTTTGGACTGTTTAATATTCATGGAGAATTCCAAAAATGAAGCATCACCTATCTCAGTTCTTCTCATGGTTTTGTGGTACAAATATGAATGGCCAATGCACCAGGCCAAAAATAAATAAAGAACGAAAAAAACAAAAGGAAAAAGAAACAAAACAGCAATGTGAATCGCTTAAGAAAGGCACTCAGCAACAAATGGGCAAAACAATGTCCACAAATACAGAATAGAAACGAGTGCAGACAATCACCATACTGTGGACTTCTAAATATACGAATCGCAGCTTACATGCAACATAATTATCCCGATCTACAGAAGATATTCTACATCTTAAAGCTGATTATGAAGTATCAAAAATCACAAACAACATAGAGAGCCACATCTATATTTTTAGTTATAGGTGTAAGAAGACATGCCTAGCCAAAGTATTTTGACAAATTTGTGAAAACCATAATTTCACCAAAGCAACGAGCCAACCTCTAACCATAGACAATCACGAAGGTCAGATATTAAAAGTTCACATCCTAAAATGGTTCACCACCATCTAAGCTAATGGCTTCTAATTCAAATGTAGAAATAACTAGAAGATTCCAAAAAAAGAAGTTTCTAGTACAAGTCTCAGCATAATGTGATTTTTCCTGGCAAACAGTCATTCGAAGTGTAAATAACGTCAACAGTTTAAGGTCATAAAAAAATGCAGCTTAAGGTGGTATGTGATTTTGTGAGACAAAAAAAACGAAACTTTTAGATCAGTAAAAAACAGGGCGCTAGAAGAGCAATTATTCCACATTTTGATCAACAAAAGCGCTTCGAAATACCTCAAGAATAGGCCCCCGGTCTGCTCCAAGTAAGTGGATTTCATCAAGTATCATGAGGCCCACCTACGATTAAAGTTGTAAAAATTGTGACGAAGGTGAACCTATATAATTTTCTCATGACATGCTCAACTGTATTTCCATACATTCACTTGCATAGAGGTAGTTGGCAAATTCCAACTATAGAATAAACTATATGGAAACAGTCGAACGCAATAATATGCATTATATATTATAAGAACATAACCTTTTGTAACACAAAGGTCTCAATTGCCCCAAGCTGAGGCGTATTATTTCTCTACACAAAAGTCTGAGAAAAAAATTCTCAAACATCAAGCACAGTCAAAGGAAAAGTTTTGGACTTCGAGGACAGTCAATGATACACCCTCAGTCGCCCGATTCACATATGTTGGCTTGGGGTGATTGTATTGTATCATAGGTAATGGGGCTATCTTATGCATTCTGAAAATAATAATTTAATAGCAAAAATAAAACAACCTTCATAACATAACTTCGCCCATGCCAGTTACGACTAATTCCATCCCATTTTTCAGGAGTGGAGATTATCACATCTGCTGAGAGTAGCACCATAAGATCCGGAGTAAAATCCCCTGTCAACTCAACCTGGAAACAAGAAAACAATAAGATTCACATCAAAAAACAAAATGAATTTCAGCTTGAAAGATATGTAAACACCAAATTATTACCATCTTCTTTCCTAAGACAGACACTAGCCGCTTTCGCCAATCATTCATCCTTTCTCGCACAATTGCCTTCAGGGGAGCAATGTAGATCACCTGCACAAACATGCCTTTTGGCATAAATCCTTCCATGTATAACTTCACCCCATTACTATAAACAAAATGAGAAATAAAACCTTCATATCAGGCTGGGTATTGAAGAGATGGAGCATTGCAAGTTCGGCTGAAATAGTCTTCCCACTTCCAGTTGGAGCGCCTAAAAGAACATTGTTGTCCGTGTGGTATAATACATGGAAAGTCTGAGAAGACAGTCAGGTAGTACATGACTTTTTACAAGGTTACAACCATCACACCCAAACTTCCAATAAAGATAAGAGTGTGAAGAAACACAGACCTGTGTCTGAATGGGGTTGAAGTGTGAAAAATTGTATAAACCCCCATAAGTTCTATTGCCCAGTGCTGATATTGGAAGAGGTTTCAAATCAAGAAGTTCAGTGTGTGTTGTCTTCATCTGCATCAACCAACGTGTATGTCACAAAAGGCCAACAATATCTAGAAAGATCATTAGCTTTGACAGTTTATAGTAGGTGGTCTTGCAATGGACCTTTGAAAATTGAACTTACATCAGGCAAGGTAAGGTTTTGGAAAGACAAAATGTGGAAAGTCTCTGCATGCAGCCAAGTGTCAGAAATGGCTCGGATATAATACTGGGGAGGATGTGGTTCAAAAATTGGTACAGTAAAAGAAAGCTTTTGAGCTCCTCCCTTTCCCATCTTCTTGGTTAGAGTGAAGAGCTCTGAATGATAGAAAGTGTCATTCTCAGAATCCTGAAAAAATTAAAACAAACTAGTTAATTCACTGATGCAGGTGCATCTTGCTTACAAAAATAAAAAGTTGCTATCCATCTATGAATCCTCATTCTATCCAAGAGTATTATCAAGTTTCAGAAATGCATCAATCCGAACCTTACAAAGAGTAAAACACCCATTTGAACACTGGCGAGTCAATAGCTCTGAGATCATAAAGACCATACTGACTTGTGGAGTTAGATCTATTAGCAACATAAATGAACCTATACTCTGAATAGTGCTGGTGCTGAACTCTCATTTAAACACTGCTCACCTAAACCACAGTAGAATGCGTGCATTACTAGCAGAGAATTCCATAACATATGTAATCAACCTTTATTCATTCAATCCTAGACTTCCATTTCCTGTTTCAAGCATCAAGAATAGCCAACTATCTGAAAAAAATAGTTTGAGAAGAGATAAATTTCGTAAAAAGGCTGAAAAAAGTGGGATTTGTAAAACTTCAGCTAGGAAAATCATATGGGTGGGGTCACTTTGTACTCACTGGAGGAAGAAGAGAGAGAATGGGAACATCGTGAAAAAATATCTGGTATTCTCAATCGATATATTTACATATGGAAAAATAAGAACAATAACGACAACAAAACAGCAGCAATAATATAACATTAATATTAATAATCCTGCTCAAACTAAAACTCTTCACGTGGTCACATGAAAACCTCAACTTATGATAAATTAAGGAATCCTATGGCTATTGTATGAACTCCATAACTTATAACATTAAATCCTATTTCCGATAATTTCTATCCCAAACAAAAACTTGTCTTAGTTGCTAACTGAAGGTTTATAAAAATCAAGCAAACTAGTACAAAAGCAAGGAGACAAACAGGATGCCTAGACATCATTTCTTATGATTGCAAACAAACCTTCTATGTTAGGGATTCTCCTAGGTTATAATCTAAAGAACTACAGAGTTTCTCAACATAAAGAACATCCAAGGAAATGCCCTCATGGGCAAGCCTGACTGCCATACTATTATCTTATCCATGTGATTGTCAAAAAGGGATACAAAGAGATGAGCAATGCCAACTTCCAAAGCACACTGGATTCTTTACTTGCCCCCATAATAGCATTGTCACTTGCATAGGGAAAAACCCCACTTTCCTGAAACGCATAAACCTCAAATTGAACTTCCCAATAGCCTTTCCAAAGGACCAATCCTTTATGAACAGATTATATGACTGTGAATGACAGAAATAACTTAGGGACCCCTTCCCCACTGATCTACCCCCCACAGCCCCTCCCCCCCCTCCCAAAACAAAACAAAACAAAAAAAAAAACGTAAAAGGCAGAAAATAACCATGTACAAATCAAATGCAATAGACAAATATATCGGATCCGATAAATCACTACATCGATCTTTCCCTCTTCATTACAGACACTTATTATAAAGAAAATAAAAGAAAAGAAAACTGCGGAGAAACTATAAAAGAGATGGAAGCAGTCCAAGTGTAATAGCCTAATAGCATGTCATACCTCAACAAGGATCCACCAACGCTGAGAGGCACCATGAAATCGATCCTTCCAAATGAAGTCCGGGGTAATAAGCAGATCGACCTATGAGCACAAAATGCATATAAAGGTCTCAGCCCACCCATATTAAGCAGCAAAAATAACCTCCAACTCATCCAATACTTCAAAAATATTTCAAAAAAGGAAAAAAAAAATACCTTGAGAACAGTTCTTGTGATTGGGCTCACACTAGCAGACAACTGAATCCAGGGAAAAAAACAGAGACACTGCTTGATAATCTACAATTGCAAACAGCAAAGGTAACAAGAACATTACTTCTAAAACAATATCAGATTGCACAGGAAATATTCTCAACACTGTCTCAAACCCCCATTCCCTACCTTTCCAGCTGGACCATAACGAAGCAAAGCACCAATTTCCCTCTCCTCCATGTCAACAAGGCGGTCCAGGTCCGCTCCTCTTTCTTCAAGTTTTCTCAATATCTACATACACCATGAATCCAATAAATCTCAGATATTACATCAGCAGGTTTTTTGTTTTTGGTTGGGTTGGGGGGAGGAGGGGAGGAGGGATGGGATGTAGGGGAACCATGTTGAAAATTTCATTCCACACAAAATTGATTTACAAGTTAAATCCATTAGGAAAATAAAATTGAGCCTATTTACATCAAAATCGAAAATACTTTAGAATGATAAAAATCAGGAGTTTGGCATATATAAGAAATACAACACAGAAGTTAAGAAAGTTGACATACTTCAGGTGAAAGATCCTTGTCAAATTGACGTAGAGGATGCTGATGAGGCCAAATTTGGTGATCAACAGCCTTGCTATATTCCAACATGAGAGATGTCATTTCACACCATCCTTGTCTTAAACAAATTTCAAACAAAGCACGCATGATGCGCGCCAGGCTCGCACTGATGTATGCAGCATCAGCAATTAAAGAAAAGCTTTCCAATGATCCATGTGATATGTATAACTGCAAGAAACCAATAAATCACATTATTCACATAGGGACACAGAAACCATAAATGTCCAAGGTAACAAAAGCAAAAGACCTGTCTTTAATGGGTAAGTGAACATTGAAAGTTCAAATAGAAAGAAACCCAACAACACAAAATCTAACATATCTAAGGTGCCTGCTGGTCCTAACTACTTCATGGATACCAATGAAACCATGTCAAATAAAAGTTGCATTTACAACTTTTACACACTGTCTGGATTTTCCTTTTGTACACTGTATGGACCTGTTTGGGCCTGTATAGCGTGACCCCTCGGGGTCACCACACCTCTTGTAATTTTGGTTCCTCTTTCTAATGAAATATAGTGAAATTTACTCAAAAATAAAATAAAACTTGTATTTTACACAAGGAAAAACGTGAGCTCTTTATAGGTCTCAAGTCTCAGTTACCTGGAGTTTCACCATACGCTTGCATGTATCTTGTTTCGGCCAAGCTATCTAGAGAGCTTAACCAAGGCATCTCTCAAGCTGCGCCTAACAGTTAAGGTCATAAGATCATCCTCCCCTAGGCTATAGGGGACTTCCTTTCCAGGTTCAAAGAGATGAGGAACTTTGGTCCTTACCCCAGCCCAGGCAAGTCACTAAGGATATCGTGTACTCAAGCTGCACCTAACAGTTAAGGTATAAGATCATCCTCCCCTAGGCTATAGGGGACTGCCTTTCCAGGTTAAAGACATGAGGAACATTGGTCCTTACCCCAGCCCAGGCAAGTCACTAAGGATATCGTGTCCACCCTCTGACTATTGGCTACAAAATCTGGTCTACGGAGCCACAGGGCACAGATCTTGTCTCAGGTATGTCTAGTCATGCAGGGTCCTAGCCATTCCTTGGAATATAAGAACATGAGGCGTGGATTGAATCAAAAACAGTTTTCGGATCAAGGTGTCTGTAGAACTCCAAGACATCTACCATTATCCCATCTCGGCGTCTCTCTTTTTTCAGTTCTGCACGTGGAGCATGGTGATTAAAGTGGCTTGCATTGGTTCCCGAGAATCCTCCAAATTGCATACATCAATTTCACTTATAAAACCGGAATTTATTCTATTTTTATATGATGCAATTTCAAAAACAAGTTCAAATTCGGTTCGACTGTTCAGCACTTCAGATTTTTAGTCAATCATGTCTCCTTATTTATCATTTCAATTTATTCTCCTCTCTCTTTCTTCACATGAAAAATATATAGTAACTTTCCACGACTTTTGTATGAAGAAACCATGTAAAAATGTTAGCAAGGTTGAGAATTTTAATGAGAAAAAAAATCAAGAGAGATTTATCAGATCAAAATTTATTGGAAAGTAGACCAACAGACACATGCAGTGGATAAAATCTGCTTCTAATACTTTCAGAGGCATCCAAACAATCTCCCAACATGATAAAATAAAATGACAGGAATTTCGCAAGGTGAAAAACACTTAAAATTTTTTTCCCTGTGAACGTTTTTTATTTGAGATTTGAACTAGCCCTTAGTCATGCCAACAAGGATTGGAGAATGTGTAGTTAAACAAAGTACAAACATGAATAACATCAAAGACTAAATGCAAACCTGAATAAGAATGGAAATCTTCCCATATTTATCACCTGGGCCACCACGAACTTCCAAAGGACATATTTGGGCCAAGTTTTCCAACTCATTTTGCTCTTCTTCCCTAACAACAATATTCTCGAACTCGGATGAATGGGCCACCATGGTGATTACCTGCAACAATGTCAATATTATTAAGATATCTTGTAAGTTCCTTGCCAGAGAAGCAACAACTTAAAATCAGAATGATGCCTGCATAAACCTAAAAGGATGTGGAGGGTACCAGTACCTCACTCTCATTCATATGGCGCCTTAGCATATCATTATAAGTTTCAACAGTAGAATATTGAAGGTAAAAGTGACTAGCTATGCGCCCAAGCTCTGTACAATAGAAGTTTCCACTTTTCTCATCAAATCTCATCATTTTGGCTTTATCGAGTGCACGGGCAGCATCTGTTACAAAATTTCTTTGCTTGGAGACCAATGATGGATCGCTTAATACCTGTTACATATAAATCAACAACATAGATGTGCATACTCAATTTGCACAGTTTTGAAGCTATATAAACCAACGAAATCAATTGTGTAGTCACCATAAAAGTTGTGCAATGAATTACAAACAGATATTTTTTAGTGTCAAATAGGTTCAAGGAAGAGCAAATAGAACAATAAATGCAACTACTCAATTTTTAACTGCAACAGTGCAGCTAAATACAATTATAATGAAAACAGAAAATAAAGAAATTCTAAAAATCTTTGAGATTGCAAGAAAATTAATAACCATATGCATTCCCGACATTGGAAAAACACCATTCTCTACACAGAGTTGCTAAGTATTAAAAATTTGGGAAGACCAGATATTAAGTGTATACAAGCTTGGAATACTTCAGTACTACAGTGACCTATACCAGGTTGGCATGTGACCTTGAATCTAAATAAAATGCACTTTATGGACATTTAACATGCTTGGAACATAATATGACTAAACCAACACAAACATTTAACGATGGTAAATAATGTAAAATAAGACCACAAATCATACCTCATCCCATCCTATTCCATATGCAAGAGGATTTGATTTCATCCTAATGAAAAGATATGTATATCCCAACCAAGCACAAGCTTCCTTTACATTTGTTACAGTACCCAAAGCCACTTCAGCGTTCAAGTTATCTTTCAATGAATTCACAAACTGGAGAAAGTGATAAACCACACAAGTTAGAGATAGGTCATGCATCAGACCTAAGTATCGAAAATTTCATAATAAATGGAAAGAAACATAGCAAAAACAAATTCATTCGAAGTACTATGCATTTTACTGTTTCAGAGAAACAAGCTTCTGAAACATGGCAATTAAGTATGGAGCCAGATATAAGCATGGCCAGTGAATGAAACAAATAACACATACTGAATCCTTGCAATTAATAAACATCTTCAACTATTACAGGAAAAAGGTGGGAAATTGAATCCACCCTTTTCCTAAATCTTAAACAAATAAAATCACCAATAATGAAGAAAGAACATGGTGGTAAATCAAGGCAAAAGAAGAAAACTTTTTTCTTTCATAAATAAAATTTATTCCAATAATATTTCTCCCAAACTATAACATCCAACCTTTTATTAGCCTATGAAACCCTAAAATAACTTGAAACCCAAGTAAACAATTAAGACTCTAAAATACCCCTAAAACAATACTAAAATTTTAAAATAACTGGAATAGTAATGCGTGAACAATAACTGCGAACTAGTACTCATGAATAGTAAATAAAGAAAATATAAGAAAACACTAGAATCCCTAAAAAAAATTAAAATCTTAAAAGTAAATCCTAAAAATAAAATCAAAATATACTATCTTTAAATTGGAATAGAAATTAAACATAGGTATAATTTTTCCCTCCATCATTCTGCTCTGGTTGGAGAAAACTGGACCTCAAGTTTTGAAGTGTGCTAAGATGAATTCAGTGTCAAAACCACCTTCTTCAACCTTCTTCTTTTTTTTGATGAAATTCTTCAACATTCTTCTTTATCCGCTTAAATATTATTCGTAGTAAAAATAATTTCTGAAGAAATGGATCATGATATGTATATTAAGGAATCAATGTGAATTTATCAAATTCGGCTATCCTTGAGCTCCCATTGAAAATCGTGTGGGAAACTTCAAACTCAATTTTCTGTATTTTAGAGGCTTTCTTGAGATCTATCTCGCTACTCTCTGAAACTCGGGCCACAATTTGCAGATTTCAAGTCGACCATGCTTCCACTACACTACTCTAATTCCAATGCACTAAATCTCCTAAATGCTCCACCTCGTCGATATCTTTAAGATCATCTTTTTCTCTGTAAAAAATCAATTTAACCACAATATCCTGATCATTATCATAGATTGGATATCTCACAAGATCTTGTTCATTATTTAAGTATGTATCAAAAATTGGTTGCAAATCCCAATCTACAACTTTCTGATTTTCGATACGACCTACGCTAAAATCAACCTCGTTGTACTTCAAATCATGGAGATCAACTAGATCCCATGACCTATTCCCCCAACATGAGGCTCCTAACGCAGAGCTCATGCATAGAACGGGTGGTTGAAGGCAGCTTCATCATTCTGCTCCAACTCTGAGTCAGACTCTGATTCACACCATTCTCCATAAAAACCCTCACGATTTGGGTATATCCTCATATATTCCTCTTCGTTTAGGACACGTTGCTGCTGGCCCCACTTGCACAGCAATAGCTTTGTAACCTCTTAGTCAAGTTGTTGATTTCCTTGCGCAGGTGGATCAAATCAGCATCCCTACAACAAAGACCTCCACGACAAGCTATCACAATCTTCAGCTGTCTTCGAACCATTATCTGATACCACTTGATGTACGAAAAATGTGGGAAATTGAATCCACCCTTTTTCTGAACCTTAAACAAGTAAAATCAGCAATAATGGAGAAAGAATATGGATGCAAATCAAGCAAAGAGAATAAATCTTTTTTTTTTTCATAAAATAAATTTATTCCAATAACATTTCTCCCAAAATGTAGCATTCAACCTTTTATGAGCCTATGAAACCCTAAATTAACTTGAAACCCAAACAAACAACAAACAATTAAGACTCTAAAATACCCCTAAAACAATACTTAAATTCTAAAAATACCCCTAAGAACAGTAATGCGTGAACAAAAACACGTGAACAGTAACTGAGAACTAGTACTCGTGAATATTAAATAAATAAATATAAGAAAACCCTAGAATCCCAAAAAAAACTTAAAATGCTAAAAATAAATCCTCAAAATAAAATCAAAATTTAACTTCTTTAAAGTTGAATAGAAATTAAAATTAAATATAATTTTTCCCTCCATCAGTTACCAACCACACATCAACTAAAATAAGAAAAAAGAAACAAAAGAAAAGTATGAAAACAAAAAAAAAAGAAAATAACAGAATCACGTGGCACGTGATCAACTGAGAATCACAAAATTCATTCACTCTTTCAAGATAGCAACCACTGCACAAAGTCCAAAAAAGAAATGACTATCACAAAAAAACTTGAGAAATGAGAATGTTTAAATTGTGTTTAGAACCACAGTATGATAATAATTTTACTGCACGTGAGCGCAATGCTCTCTGCAATAGCCATAACTATGGTAACCAAATAATGAAATTTCAACTAGAAACCCAATTAAGATTCTTTCACCTGGCTTTCAATAGGAAGCTGATTGGTAAGCAGTCGTAAGTAGTGAGCCAATTTGTCATGAGTTGTAATGATAATGCCTTCCCCACATTTGTCGAATTGCGGCCTACCAGCACGTCCAAATATCTGTCGTAACAAGACATCCAAACAAAAGAAGATAAAATAGCATAATATTCCGATAGACTTTATATGTATAAGTATAATAGTTCTTAACTCATGAAAAATAATCATAAGTTACCTGCATAACATCAAGCATTCCCAATTCTCTCCAACCCCCAGCCTTCGGATCATACAGTTGTGTGCCCTGAGATCCATGTGTCCACAGTCAATGGCGATATGAAAGCTATAGAATTCCAATTTATCCTCACATGATTCTATCATAAAAAAGAAAACAAGCACCCAAAGTAGATAGAAAGGTTTTGAAAAAAGAGCATCCAATTCAGATGTGATTTTTCCTGCAACGGGACTAGCTTACATAAATAAATTAAGATACAAAGTTGAAGGATTAAAAGCTAATAGGATTACATAATATGTCACACTAAAGGATGAATCAATGCGAGCAAATCATCTCACATCACAACATAAGGACAAGACCCAGGCTCTCAACTTATGTTAGTTCAACAGCATTAATATAACCTCTTCGGACTCATGCTAGGGTGGGTCCTCATTAAGTATGTATGCTACAAGAAAGGCCAAGTCCCCGCGGCAGGTAGTGATAATAATATCTGATAAAGTGCTTGACATGTGTGAAATCAAAAATGTATCTTCCATAGATGTTATGAGGGTGGCTGAGTGGGATGTTCCAACTTGTAAATTTAGGGTAAAAATGTCAATAAGGATGCTATTGTTCTAACCTCCTACTTTTTTGTTTGCAGCTCTTGCAATATAAAATTTCCCAACTGAGATAATAATTAAAAAACAAAAAGCAAGCTAAGAACTCCAATGTTTTATATCCACACAACATTCCTTTCTCTCGTACTCATACAAAGGGGATCCCCATTTACAGCATCACTCAACCAAAGTAGATTAGTAACTTTCAGAATTACAACTAAACACAGGTCTCCAGATATTTAAATATTACCTTAACTTGTGGAGATATTCTAATATGGTAACAATGAGAGGACTCTCTCACCTTTCGCAGCCCATCACAGTATTTCCCAAATCTATGTAGTCAAATATTCTAACATGGTATCAAAAGAAGATTCTCTAACCTGTCACTGTTCATCACCAATCAAAACATTTCGTAGTACATTCATACTCCAATATTATTTGCCATGGAACCGATACCAAAAAAATCGCACATTATGAACAGTCACAATTGGAAATCCATCACTGGAAAATTTGACATGCCAAGGTCTATTTAACCAATATAACAAAATCTAGCAATAGCTCCCAGCAGAATCTGAAGTTCAAGGGCTCATATCTCTGGAGTTCTGGTTCAAATCAAAGCGTACTTTCTACACAAATCATGAGCATTCAAGCCTTATCCCAATTAATTGAGGTCGGCTACATGAATCATGTTCCTCCATTCTTCTCTATCAAAGGTCAATAAGACCAATAACATAGGATCAAGATTCCAGATAAGATGTGGCAAAGTTTTACATTCGTTACCTACCTAACGTAACCCACCTCCTTTACCCGAGCTTGGGAAGGGTTAAAGGAAAGTTTAAGGTCCTCACCCTTCTTAGACTGTTACTTTCTAGGCAAATAAACAATGAAAAAGATTTTTAGCAAGTTTAACTTTTCAAGATGCATGGCATACATCAGACAAACTAACCTTTATCACCACAGTGTGAGCTGGTAGATTTACTCCCCATGCCAGAGTTGCGGTGCACACTAAAACCTGCGAGACCACATAAATGGGAATATACTCAGAGCAATACATACATGACTGTTTCAATGCTAACGAGAACACTTGGTAAGGACGCACTTTAAGGAGGCCATCAGAGAAAAGACGCTCAGTCAAGCTTCTATCCGCACGTAACATGCCAGCATGGTGAATCCCAAAGCCAGATTCAAACACTTCTACGAGTTCCCGGTTCCTTGATTTATGAACCTCTCTCTGCAAAAAATGATGAAGAACATGTATAATGGATTTGTGTGCCCTTCCTCATGATTAGATCATATACAAAAAAGAACATATGGGGATCTTACTTTTATTAAGGAGTATTGTGGATGGTTGTCATTCTGAAATAACTCTAGATCCTCATTTCTGCGAGCAAGCTCAATCTGTGTTACATTTTTCACGTCAAGAACAAAGGTATTGTTATAAATAAATGACTTGTATAAAGTACGATGTAAAGAATGAAAGGACTTAAAGCACTGAATTGGAAAAAATAGATGCATTGATGTTCAACTAAATCATCAATGCGATCAAGAACTAGCTTCTACCTATGCTGCAATACCATAATTTCTTAATCCTAAGTAGTCATGTCTATCAAGTAGGCATCTAGATGCTACTGGAGTTTGAGAAAGCAGAAAAACAAATCCTCATTAAAATGTAATTTTGGATCTAGAAAGCACAAGCATGACTAAAGTGATATCTTAAAGTACCATGCAGGTTACACAAGGCTCCCTTTCAAGACCATCTTGTAATGGGAGAGAATGAAGATGTTTCACATCCTGTCTGGCTCGACCATTTGGGTGACACCAGTGAATGAAAATCCACCTGCTGCTAGGCAAGGCCCTTTCTGGTATGGTACTAGGGCGCTCAGCCTAGGCACCCTAGCACCACCAATGCGACCCTATGGAGCCCTTAGCTAGAGAACAGGGCCTCGGCCAAGGGCTCCAAGTGCTCAAGCTAGAGAAAAGGGCCTCCGGCCAACAGCTCCAAGTGCTCAATGTGAGGCGCCTCTCTCTATCTCTCTCACGCACACACGGAAGCATATGCTCTCTCTCTCTCTAGACATAAGAAGACATCAAGTGTTCGATGCAAAATCTCTCTCTCACAGGCCCAAATGCTCTCTCTCTCTACACATACGAAGAAGAGGAAGAAGACCTCCATGTTTTTGATGTGAGGCTTCTCTCTCTCCTACGCACACATATAAGAAGAAGAAAATGAAGAAGACGTAGTCCAAGTTTCAATGTGAGGCTGCTCTCTCTCTCATGGACCCATATGCTCCCTCTTTCTCTCCAAATATAAGAAGAAGAATACGACTTCCAACGCTCTGCCCCCCCCCCCCATACTACCAAAAAAAAATCACAAGGACAATAAAAAGACAAGCCCTCTCTCTGTACATATGAGAAGATGACATTCAACTGTTCAATGAGAGGTCTTTCACTTACACATGAACCCCAATGCTCTCTATCTAAACAACCCCCCCCCCCCCCTTCCAAAAAAAAAACACTTTAGGGCAGCCAAGGTATTTGGGTGCCCGCTAGGCCGTCCAGGACCCCTGGCCACCTAGGAAATCGAATCCACCGTCGTGAACACTGGGTGGCACATCAAGTGGATCTTACTACTACCAAGGTTTATTAGAAATCTATTATTATCAAGCTCTTTTCCTACATCACAATACAAAAATGTTCTTTAGAAACAATACCACAGTGAGAGCACAGGCAATCATTATCACATGCTGTGCCACCATGAATCCCTTTTGGATGTAAGAATTCCTAACCCCCCCCCCCTTCTCTTTTTTCTCTTCTCTCTCTTTTCTACTTGAGACAGTCATCTCATTTGGGAAATGAGAACATTTACAGCCTATTTAAAAGCTTCTAATCCCCGAATTCTTCAAGAATCTTCAGTCTTCACAACCAATTTCACAAAAAAAGCACCCCAGAGAGCATTTTGAAAACTCACATCTTGTTCACTGGACAAAGGAGGTTGCAGTTCCCATAACATGAAACAAAACACATTCTTAACTTGAAACCGCAAGCTGAAACTTGTTCTAAGGAGGACTCTCTGCTACCACTGAAGAGTCATTCTGATACACAATTTTTTCCACAGAAAATACTTGCAAATCCATTTCTGGAATAATGAAGTATAGTTAATCATCAAAAAAGAGAGAACTCTCTGTTACATGAATCTTATGAATAGGAACCAACTCGCAAATGACAAAATTTTCTACTCCTTTCTCAACTGAGAAACCACAAAAAGTTTATAAATTACAAAACAGAAATCCAGTTATTCCCTTTCAATAGATGTCTCCAATGAATCGTGATGCCATCATGCTGCTACAATAGAATATAAATCAAAATTATTCGAGAAGGAAAGAAGAAGAGTAAGATATGCATAACTAGAGAAGGAGAATAGGTGGGCGAAAAATGGACTGTCCAAGACAAACTTAGGTTTTTGGACATTCTTATATTTATATATTTTGTTAAAAATGTAAGGCTACAAATATGCCCATGGCAAATGTCAACTATGCAACATATGAACATAAATCAACTACAACAAATATAAAATTCAATTTAAAAGTCTACCTTTGCACATCATGGTATATTCTTAATAAATCCCCTCAAGTTGTGCATTAGCAACAATCATGGACAGCTTTCCCTTTAGAGGTCTATGTTTCTTTTTGGTCAGCCCTTTTGTGGAAAATATCTACCACCTATTCATTGGTCCCAACAAACTCCGCAAATTTTTCTGTCTTCATTTTTCTCGTCCACAAAGTGCTAATCCATTGCAATATGTTTGGTCCTTCCATGAAGCACTAGATTCGTGGAGTTAATTAGTGCACTTTGATTATCACAATATTCGAAAAAATGCAGGGCGGCACCTAGGAGGCTGGTGGGATAGTGTTTTTGGATGCCCAAAGTGGAAGAACAGGGGTGGGAGGTGTCTGAAAAAATAGCTCTAGGTCTAAAATCTAAATTTTATGTGAAAATTGCATATTGACACATTTTTGCTACATTTTTTACGTTCAATCAAATCCAGACTCCAAAGACAAACCAAAGTATTTGAGATATAGACAATTAGATAAAAACAATTTAAAAACAAAAAGGAAATTACAATCCGACATTCAAATTCAGTACTATACATAACACATAGTCCATAGTCCATAACTCCATTCATACACTCCATAGTCCATAACAATCACCATGAGTACTATCCCAGTCCATAGTCCATACCCCACACACAAAAATGCGCATTTTTTCTTCTTTTTTTTCACTCAGTTGTAAAAAAAAGGGGCTTAGGTCACGTAAAACCTAAGCCCCCTTATTTAGGACGGGGTGGGGGAAACAAAAATGCCCCTCTCACCCCTAAGCAGGGACAGTATGCCCCCGTCCTGGGGAAGGGGCCCAGGGACCCAACTCCCAGAAGGGTCACCTAGGCTTGGGCAATGCATGCAGGCCCGCCTAAGCGACCGCCTAGGCACTGGACGTGCCTATTTTTGAAACTATGTCCTATGTGCTTGACACTACCACTGTCCTTTGTTTCTTGCTGCACCAGGATAACAAGTTGCTTCCCGTAGGCACACAATAACTAGTAACTGCTCTACTTGGGACCCCAATCCAGTCTGCAACTGAAAAAGTTAAACCTTAAAGGATTCATATACCAAGGATTATTTTCAAAGTAAAGCAACCCATTATTGGTGGTGCCCTCTTGGCAGCCTCTAAATTATCTCCTCTTGGATTATGCATGTGCAAATTTACATAATTAACTGCATAAGATACATCGGGTCCTGTAATGTACCAACAATACTTCTGTATCTATTGGACTTGAAATAGGTTTCCCTACAACTTTCATTATCTCCCCATCTCCTATTCAAAATTTTAGGTGTAGAGACTCGTTTTCATTTAATATCTTTGTCCTTTTCGAAAGATCCAAAACATATTTGAGTTGCCCAAGAATCATCCCATCTTTCTTTCAACTTTTATACCTAGAAAATAATTTAGATTTCCCAGAACCTTCATTTGAAATGCATTAAGAGAACTTCTTTAATGTGATTCACCTTCTTCAACAAGCTTCATGTGAGAATGATGTTGTCTACATAAAATAGTCGAATGGTGATATCTTTTCCATCATGCTGAATAAATAATCAACAGTCCACCGGGGTTCTATAAAAGCTATAGTTCCAAATTACCTTACAAAGCTATCAAACTAAGCTCGTTACGCTTGCTTCAACCCATATCTTGCCCAATTTAATTTGCACATGATGAGTTTTGGATCTGCACTATATCCCATTGGTTGCTCCATACATGCTTCTTTCAAATCCCATGAGTCCAACAAGGATATCTCCCAATTATGGGCTAATGCAACGGATAAAATAACTCTAATCATTCCCATTTTCTCCACAAGACTTATATGTTTCATCATAGTCTAGCCTATATTCTGGATTATATCCCTTTACAAGTAGCCTCGTTTAAACCACTCAATGGAACCATGCGCCTTACACTTTATTTTAAACACCCATTCTAACCCCACAGAATTTCTTAATTTACACCCTGGGAGTTGGGACAATCACCCATGATATACATCTATGTGTCAAGAAAACTTGATGTTCAATAGAAAGGTCATAACATACTCACCTTTCTATGGTTGGCAAGTGTGGGCCAATCTCATGAGTTGATTTTGGTCCCCAACATCTATCGAATGTGAAGTCTTACATCTTGAATTGATCGCTCTTGAGTACTAGGGACGTGTCAGGCTCTTACTTATTAGCCCCTACTTCTTTATGCACAATTTCTATACTTCAGTTGTCCTTCATGGGCAACACCCTCTTTTTCCTCTTTGATAGACTATTAACTCTTGGGCACATCTTTCATGTGCAACACTTCAATCTCCCACAAATGAAGGACTTCTAATAGCTACTAGTCCATCATTTAATAAGTTTTGAATCAATTTTGAGAGCTACAGTGCATAAAAAATAATCAATCTTGAGTTTTTTGAATGTCTTCTCCTAAAATTTTTGGAGGCTTTGGAAGGGAATATATTCAGCTTTCATCAAATGTCACATGTCAAGAAATTAACATTCTCTCCAATCTTGGATAATAACATCAATATCCTAAGTGCATATCACTATCGCTCATGAACACACATCTTAGCTTTCAGCATCAACTCATCTCTTTGACTTCCATCCACAAGAACCTCACAATAGCATGCTATAATCTGGGTGCCTTCTATGAAAAATAAAATATCATGCTTTCCACCGTATTCATGGAAGGCAACCAATGAATAACATGCATCACAGTGTGAAAAGTATCACTCAAGAGATTTGGAGACTCCAATGGATTGCATCATACATAGGGTTGCCTTTCTTATATGTTTATCTATTCTTTCAGCTAAA